AAAAGAAAACCCATTGCCATAGAGTTGATTCCAACTCACAGCGACCCTGTGCAACAGAGGAGAACTGCCCCATAGGGTTTCCAATCTTTTTATTTTCCCCTTAACTTTTTATTGTGATTCGAATGAAAATTTATAGAGCAAATTGGTTTTCCATTCAGCTTTTTTTTTTTAGAGTCAAGAATTTACTGGGTATTTTTATTCTGTATATTACAGTATTACTTGCCAGTCTAATTGTTTTTTTGAACATTTTATTGTGGCTTGAGTGAAAGTTTACAGAGCACACTAGTTTCCCATTCAACAATTTATGCGGCATTTGTTTCACGTTAGTTGCAATCCCCTCAATGTAACGACACTCTTCCCCTGTCCTCCCTGGGTTCCCTGTTTGCATCCACTCATCTTTCCTGCTCCTTCGTGCCTTCTGAAATTTGTTTTTGGGCAAATGCTGCCCTTTTGGTCTCGTAAGGTTGATTATTCTGAGGAGCACATTCCCCGTGGGTGTTATTGTTCACTTTATAGGCCTTGTTTGGTTGAAAGGTGATCTTCGGGAGTGGATTCAGTGCTGGCTTGGGGGTATCTGACAGCCATGAATTTTGTTCTACATTTTTTTTCCTACCTGTCTGTCCAGGATCCTCTATGGTGATCCTGTTCAGTAGTGGTAGTCGGGCACCATCTAGTTCCTCTGGTCTCAGGGTAGTGGAAGCTGTGGTTTGCATGGTCTGTCAGTCCTTTGGACTACTTGTGTTTCCTTGACTCTTTGATAGCCTTCATTCTTCTTTGCTCCAGATGGGGAGAGACCAATAATTGTATCTTAGATGGCCACTTGTAAGCTTTGAAGATTCCAGTCACTACTCACCAAAGTAGAAAGTGGAACTTCATCTTCATGGACTATGCTATTCCAGTTGACTTAGATGTCCTCTGGGAAGGTTGTGATCTTTAGGGAAGCAGACACCATGTCTTTCTCCCACAGAGCAGCTGTGGGACCTTTCAGTTAGCCATTGAGGACTTAACCACTGTGCTGTTGGTCATAGAGCCAGCCATGGCTAATTGGGCTTGGGTCAGGCCCTGTGCAATGCATTTAAATGCATCAGTCCTAATGCCCACAACCAGGAAGGCCATTGTTGCATCTTCCTCCTTTTACAGACACTGAGGAAAGGTGTTTCCAAAGACTCTAGTTAATCAGTGATTTGCCAGCACCTGGACTGGGTCAGTTTGCCACCTGCTCTGAGCTCTTCCCCTAAACATGCTCTTCTCTGTCTGGGAGGAGCAGGAGAAAAAGCTAGACTTGTCAGCTGCAGAAGTCAGCTCCAACTCATGGGGACCTTGTGTACAACACAGTGCAACGGTGTCCTGTCCCGCTTTGTCCTCACGGCTGCCCACATGTTTGAGTCCATGTTTGCGGCTACTGTGCCTGTCATCTCAGCGGGGGTCTCCCACGCCCTCATTGTCCTCCTCCAGAGTGTGGTTCCTCCTGATGATGTGTCCGGAGCAAGCAACTCAGGTGGTGGTCTGTTGGGCTCCACAGCGTTTCCATGGCTGATTGTCAGAAGCCTGCCTTCCTAGTCTGTCTTTGTCAGGAAGCTCTGCTGAAACCTGTCCACCACGGGTGCCCCTGCTGGGATTTGAAATACCGGTGGCATAGATAGCCTCCAGGCTCCCAGCAACACACAGGCCCCCACAGTAGGACAAACGGACACACAGGTGGTAGCCTGTGTGGCTGGGCCTCTTTTATTTCTGTGTAGCTCTGTCCTGCTCTGGAACTAACCCAGTCTAGGTACTGGTAGATCACTGATTAACTAGAGTCTTTGGAGACACCTTTCCTCAGTGTCTGTAAAAGAAGGAGGATGCAGCAATGACCTTGACCACTTGTGTTATCTGATCTGCTTGAGTAAGTCTCGGGCTGGCGGGGGCTTGCTCTATCCTTTGCTGGGCTCCCTGTGTCTGGAACAGTATATGGAACAGTGCCTGTTGCATAGCACTTGCACCAAAGACATTTGGTGGCTTTTATTCAGTGACCTGCCTAACTGGGTCACTCAAAGGTGAAAGGTCCTTTCCTTGGGTCACCCTTCCTGCCTCCTTGGTCTACCACCAGTGGGAGGCCTGCCCCAGGCAGAGCCTAGCTCCTCCTGCTGGAAGCTCCTCCCACCTCAGTTGGAGGAAAACAAGGGGGTGGCTGGGAATCACATCAGTGCTTTCTTTGTGAAGATCTGATTTCTTCAGTTACTTATTATTTACCTGATTCCCTCTGAAGGGGCCCTGGTGGAGGATCAGTTAGGCGCTTGGCTGCTAACTGGAAACACTGGTAGTTCAAACTCACCCGTGACTCCATGGGAGAAAAGATCTGACGATGTGCCTCTTGAAGATTATAGGCTAGGAGACCCTGTGAGGCAGTTTTGCTCTGTCCTGTAGGGTTGCTGTGAGTTGGGGTTGACTTGATGGCACACAACAACAGCAGCAGCAGCAACGCCCTCTGAGAAGTGGTGGTGGCTCCGTGGTAGGCTGTCGGAGATCTGGGTTTGATTCCTGGCATTGCACCTCATGGCAGCCACTCCCTGTCAGTGGAGACCTGTGTGTGCTGTGATGCTGAACAGGTATTAGCAGAGCTTCCAGACTGAGTCAGACAAGGAGCCAAGGCCTGGGGATGTGCTTCCAAAAGCCAACCGCTGAAAACACTACAGATCGCAACAGTCTGATCCCGTTGTGCGTGTGCTGGGGACCAAGGACAGCAGTGCTCTCCAATGAGAAAACCCTCCTACCGGCTCTCACAACCTGAAGGTGATTCTTTCATAGCATAGTCCAGACCAGCACCCCCTCACCTCTGTGGCCACCTGCGTTAACTCCAGGAGACATGGTGCCCACAGGGTCTGGGAATGGGTTTGCTACACAGTCCCCCCCACAGGCCAGTGATGACTAGGTCAGGTCCCAGAGTCGAGGCCCCATGACACGTGATTCTACGGTCACAGGTGCACACTTCCCAAAGTCACCTCCCAAAATACACCTCCCCGCACACAGCGGCTTCAAGTGCAGTCCAAAAATAACCCCATCTTGTCACACATGTGAGGCTATGTGGGCGTGTCAGCTGATGGGATTTCGTGGGAGAGAAGCACCTTGGTATCAAAATTAGAGACCCTGTTCCCTGCTGTACAGCGGTGCGTGGGCTTCAGCCACCCCTCTGCCGGCCCAGCTGCTGCAGGGCGGACCCAGAGGTGGTCCAGCCGGAAGTTTCAGCTTGGGTGCTGGCTTGGTTCTGCCCTGAGGCACGTGAGCCGCCTTAGGCCAGCTGTCCTCCTATGAGGCTTGATGTCACCCGCAGTGAGGCAGACCCCCTCCCCAGCTCTGCTGACATCATGGTGTTGTGAGGATCAAAAGAAGTAAAGAAAGTGAATGTCCTTGCCAATCCTTCCATGCAGGCGCTGGAGTCCCTTCCTTCCGCGGACTGTTGTGAAGTGCCTGGGCTGCTTGGGCACTGGAGAGCGAAGATGACAATCTCCTGGTTTATTCCCTGCCCTCAAGACGCCCCAGGTCTCTGTCAGGGAGAAGCAGCATCTGGTCTGCCGGCCCTTGGCACTGTTCCAGGCTTCCTGTGCATTTGTGCCTTTATGAAAAATCCAAGCTCACTGCCGTCGAGTCGGTCCTGACTCATAGCGACCCCTCCTTGGGTTTCCGAGGCGATATCTCTACAGAAGTAGATTGCCCAGTCTTCCTTCCAAAGAGTGGCTGGTGGGTTTGAACGGCCAGCCTTCTGGTTAGCAGTCCAATGCCTTAAGTACTGCGCCACCAGAGATCCCGTGAGAGGGTGCTATTACTCTCATTGCTCTTTTCTCTAGGAAACAGTCACCTCGGGCAGGTGGGCGGGTGGCATGAACTTGACAGGATTCCCAGGAGAGTCAAGGTGTGACTCCAAGGGGCTTTAAACCCAATGACTCCATAAAACCGCCTTCCAAAGTCAGCAGAGATGCAGGGAGTGTTCTGGGCGTGGCTGGAATCCTTATTAACTTCTCTCTGTTTTGACAGTTGTCTCACACTGATGTACTCACCTGTCACCCAGGTTATTGCCAAATGGGGAGCTCTGTGCGGAATGTGGGCGGCTTGCTTTTCTGTGTCCCCTGCCTGTTGCAGCACAGTCTGATGTGTCAGGTTCTTCCCCAGAGCTCAGCAGAGCCATCGCTGTTGTGGCAGTCTTCCCCACTAGGCGGTGCAGCCAGGTCTGCTGTGGCGTGCGTTGCGGTGTCTCAGATTTGCCCATGTGTGATTGGTAACTACAGGAATGGTGTCATCATGACACAGAAGCATCATTGATTCATGTACGATTTTTCCCAGAATGTTAATGTTTGATGGGAGTCACAGCCCTGAACCCAGAGTGCACTTGCATAGTGGACGCAATGCTGTCCGTGGTACCCACTATGCCCTGCTCTTCTTGTTGGCTTATTGTAGCCACATACTCTGTTTAGAAACA